TTTTAGGAAAATCCTAAACTCTTTCTCTGCTCCCTTTTTTCCTGTCCCTGTATCCAGGTTGTGGTTTGGAGATTTCTTGAAAGATCAAAAGGCTCCGATGTATTAGCAACAAAGCAGGCCTTGCTGTTTATTATCTTACTACAGTATGTTCCTAGGTTTCTTCGGATGTTACCACTGACTTCAGAACTTAAGAGAACAGCTGGTGTCTTTGCTGAAACTGCATGGGAAGGTGCTGCATATTATTTGCTGTTATACATGCTTGCCAGTCATGTAAGTTTATGTTTTGTTATTATAAAATTCACTTCTGCTGGTCTTCTCTGCTGTCTTCTAGTTGATCTATTATGCCTGCTCACTCTAATGCCATTATGCTTGCTACCTAGCTTGATGATACCATAAATTTGCGAGGTTTTTTAATTTTATTTTATGTTCTATTCTAACAATGACTCTCTGCAGATAGTTGGGGCTTTTTGGTACTTGTTGGCTGTTGAACGCAATGACTCATGCTGGCAGAAGGCATGTACGAATGGGTGCAAAAAGGATTTCTTGTATTGTGGTAACCAGTTTATGGAAGGTTATAATGAGTGGAACAAAACAAGTGATCAAATTCTTAAGGAACATTGCTCTGCCAAAGATGATTCGCCTTTTGATTTTGGAATTTTTAAACAAGCATTGTCATCTGGCATTATTTCATCAAAAAAGTTTGTCTCCAAATACTGTTATTGTTTATGGTGGGGCCTCCAGAATTTGAGGTGAGTGTTATTATTTCCTTTGGAGATCCATATGTATTCTGTTACTACATTTGTAACAAATTTTAACTTATGTCTTCTGCCTGAACTGAAGCTTGTTTTACATAGTGTTTTCCTGGAAGTATCTATATTTATGATATGTATGCATACAAACACGTTCATATGTTTGATTATAAGAAATGAATTTGTTAGCGGTAAATGGAATCAGACATAAAAATTGACAATAATTGTTGCATTATTTGTGTAGTTGGTATTTCAAACTCTGCCTAGGCCAGTGTGCCTGTAGATATTCCTAACGAGGATGTGCCATACGTCTAATAAAATTGATAACTTTAGGAATAAGTTGCTTTAAGAGCCATCTTATTACCAAGGAGACTTTCTGCTCCAGGGTAAGTGTGTGGCCCATAAATCGCACAAGTACATTTCTTAATTTTAATTATATTCTATATGTTTCTTCTATCTCGGTTGCGAAATACTTGCTTTGTTGTTTTGATTATCTGTGTCTTCAAAATACAACCACTACTTTGGAGCATAACTTACATTAATGTGCAGCTTTTTCTGTGACTGAACATTCATTTCTGAAGGTAGTTTGGTAGTCAGTTACTGAGTTCGATTAATTTTACTGGATTCTAAATAATGCTCATAGGCATTTAACCCTTTAAATAGTTTGTGTTTCACTTGTGTGGTGGGGGAAAAAAATAGTGCACAGGACACTGTTATCAGTTCAGCACGCAGACAATCTGTTTTTGTTTACCAGAGATACTCTTAAACTTTAAAGGTTTGAACTAAGGGCTCAAACTTATTCTTTCAATACTTGTCTGAAAGTTTGGGAGGCAAAGGGTGGCTTTAGGTTGTGATTCACGAAATGGCTTTTTATCTTGCCTGTTATTTTATTTTACGAACAAAGTAATGAGGATTGGGTTAATAGTTAAATATTGATTGCCCTGCTAAAACCTATTCTTTAAAAGCTTATCCAATAAGTACTAACCAATCCCCCTTTTCAATTGACTAAAGATGTGTTTAAATTTCTATGGCTTATAATTGCCTCTTCGGAAGTCATATATGTTCTTTTTCAATCTTATAGTTACTTGTGTGCTTATAATAGTTTCCACTGGAATTCATTACAGTACACTTGGCCAGGGGCTTGAAACCAGCACTTATCCTGGGGAAACCATCTTTTCAATAGCACTAGCCATATTTGGCCTTATCCTCTTTGCACTTCTAATTGGTAACATGCAGGTATGCTCAAGATCAGGGAGTTTAACATATTTTGTGTCTAACGTTGTTGGAACTCATGCAATTTACAATCTGCCAAGATAGGAAATCGCTGATGTCCATAGATTTGTATTATTTGCGTCAAATTGCTGGCTATGCATGTTAACCTTCCGTGCCTTCATAGCAACATGATATATGACTGATTAAAATGATATTGAATGTCACATTCGATTTACATTCATGCAGAGAGTGGGCCGATGAGATCACACATTTTTGAGTGAGATTCATATCATTGGGGGGGGGGGGGGAAGAAATGGTATAGAATGGTATGGTCAAACAAGCATGATCAACCTCTGGTAGAGAAAGTCATATTTTACATTGAGGAAAGGCTGATCACATGCTGTTTTCATTTGGTGATTAGTGAAAGCATGTATAGTCAAAGATGAGACACTACTGTTGCCTTGTTCTTGAAGTTTCCTTTCCTGAATTGATGTATTGGATATTGGTATTTGTATTGAGAAATAATTGTATGCATGCTAAAGAGATTCAGAATAATTCTTCAATCAAATACACATTCACTGGTGCAAAATTATGTCACAAAATTATGAAGAGCAGATTGTTAATGATCAGATACTGAGATTTCATTTTTTTCACCCCCTTTGCACGAATACAGACGTATCTTCAATCTATTACCATAAGGCTTGAGGAAATGAGAGTCAAAAGGCGTGATTCAGAACAGTGGATGCATCACCGCTTGCTCCCACCAGAGCTGAGAGAGCGGGTTAGACGCTATGATCAATATAAGTGGTTAGCAACACGTGGTGTGGATGAAGAAAGTTTGGTTCAGACACTTCCAAAGGATCTTAGAAGAGACATCAAGCGTCACCTGTGTCTGGCTTTAGTGAGAAGGGTATGTTGTGAATTCCTTGTAAAAGTTAAGACGCACCATAAAGGACCAAAATCAAACACAGAGAAACTGTGTTTGGTCAGATACGTTTTTTGATTAGATTAGTTCAGCCCTGGCCATAGTTATAGCTAAAGTTACTCCATTTATAGTTGTATGATTGTATCCTCCTTTTGCATGAATATATTTATCTGGATTTCCCCCCAAGTAATCAAATCTCTTCAAAATGGGGGCTGTTTCTTGTGATTTCTTTATCCATTTAGCTCTTCAATGTTCATGTAGACCCCTTTTTACTGGAAGCTGTACATATTTTAACGGAACTTTCTGCAAAATAATGTTTTATCTACATTTTTTGGGAGCATGCTATTTATGAAGCATCCAGAAGCTTTTCCATTTTCCCATTAACTTTAGGTTGAATGAAAAGTGTCTTCTGAAAGCACAAAATAAGTGGTATGTGGATGGTTTTGTGCTGCTAATCGCATCTTTTATATTGGGGTTTTGTCTTATAAGCATAAAGATTATCTCATTACCTCTTGCAATTTGCTTTCGTAAATTCTTTAGAAATCTATTACGCAATTTAATAGATCTTTTGGACCTTTTCTTTTCTACACTTGACAATTTAGTGCTATAGCATCTGAATTTGTCCAACATTAATTTCTTCTTTGCATTTGTAGGTTCCACTGTTTGAGAGTATGGATGAGAGACTGCTTGATGCCATTTGTGAAAGACTGAAACCTTGTTTATTTACTGAGAATACTTACATTGTACGGGAAGGAGATCCAGTTGATGAGATGCTTTTCATCATTCGTGGTCGACTCGAAAGTGTTACTACAGATGGTGGTAGAAGCGGATTTTTCAACCGTGGTTTCCTTAAAGAGACTGACTTCTGTGGGGAGGAGCTTTTAACCTGGGCACTGGATCCTAGATCTGGTTCTAATCTCCCAACTTCTACTCGAACAGTTAAGGCATTAACAGAGGTTGAATGTTTCGCCTTGATCGCAGATGAGTTAAAATTCGTTGCTAGTCAGTTTAGGCGCCTTCATAGTAGACAGGTTCAACACACATTCCGGTTCTACTCACAGCAATGGAGGACATGGGCTGCCTGCTTTATTCAAGCAGCATGGCGGCGATATTCTAAAAGGAAGGCCATGGAGCTTCGTCGAAAGGAAGAACCTGAGGAGTCAGAAGGAACTCAAAGTAATGTTAGTGGCAGTTCATACAGCATTGGTGCTACCTTCTTAGCTTCAAGGTTTGCAGCCAATGCTCTTCGGGGCATACATCGCAATCGGAATGCTAAGACTGCGAGGGAGTTGGTGAAACTACAAAAACCTCCAGAACCTGACTTTACTGCTGATGATGCAGATTAAATTTTCTTGTATAATTATTCGCCTGAAATACTTGTTATCATTGACCAGCTCTGTTTTGGTTGGACTTGTCAAGAAAGTGTTGTACAAGCAATGTATTATAAATTCATGTCAGTTATTGTATTGAGACATGGAAGAGGTGTAAAGACTCTTGTCTGTTCCCTTGTAAATCCAGCTCAAATGGACTGTTCTATAAGGTCTGCCAATGTTTATGTTATTGATGCCCTTTTGTGTATCAGTAATGGTCACACACACACACATATATATGTTGGTTGAGTCGGTCTCTTTCAATGAACTTACGGCATCCTTAGATATAGCAGATCTATATATTTATGTATTAAATCAAACGTTTGTTTGGGTATTCTATTAAATTTAGTCTGGTTTTGGGATTAATGTTTGAACAGCTCTTGAGACATGCCTCTTATTTCCAGATCTCTTTTCTTAACGGCTTCGTTTCCTTGTTCGAATTCCTCGTGGACGGACAATTTTAAGATTACATAGTTTCTCAGGTGATTACGCCCGCTCCTTTGTGGTCCCTGGAAGCTCATTACATTGTTAGAACTTAAAGTGAATGCTGAGTTAAACACATTGGCACAGAAAAATCCTAGGCGGAATAATTTTTCATTACATGTAAGCACATCTTTGCAATGTTTGTAGCTTAGATGTTACATTGAACCTACAGAATTCCCAAACCACCGAATTTGAGCCCAAAAAAATAAATAAAAAATAAACACTAACAAAACAGAGATACTTATCGTAAATGCAGAATATACTATACCGAAGAGACTAACAAGAATTTCCGTCAAAGCTTAAGATTGGAACCAATGGAGAGCCACAGCTCTCCATTCCAAACAAACAAGACATTAACTCTTCAAAAGGTGATTTGACCATCCCGCCATTGCCTTCGCATGGCGAGAACTAGTCAACTTTGACTGATGAATAGATGAGCTTTATGAAATAGTAACATGCATAGAACCCAATTGTACCGGTCAAGACAAAGAAAGCATATGAAAGAATCAGCATATATGCAAAGTACAGAAGCCCAGAAACGGGTTTTGTGATCTCAAGCTTTGTGAAGAAGTAAAAAGCAGCATAAAGGAAAAGGTAAAGAGCTGATGAACCTGAAGTCAGATAAGACCTCCACCACCAGTGATAGTCCTCACTACACAACTGGAAGTAGCAGAGAACTACTGTTATCTCAGCACAGCTGACCAGTAGTATGAGGAACACAATGAAGAGGAAACCAAATATATAGTAAAATTGATGTGACCAAATTGATGTGAGAATGAAGAATAGCTCTATGAAGACAGCACCAAATGGGAGTATGCCTCCTACAAGAATAGACAACACAGGGTTCATGTACCAGGTCTGAGCTGGGATCTGCCTAGGAATCTTGTTTGTCTTTACTGGATCCTCAGAAACTGGCTTTCTAAAACCCATATAACCACCAATGAAGACAAGTGGAACTGAGATGCCAAACCATAAAAAGACCAGAGCAGACATTGTTCCAAAAGGGACAGCCCCAGAAGACTTTTCTCCCCAAATAAGAGCATTTAGCACAAAGAATATTACGAAGATTATAGCAGGGAACATGAAGGCTGTTTTCAGACTTATCTTTTTCCAATCTGTTCCCTTGAACAACTTATAGAAACGCGCTGATGAGTATCCGGCGAATGATCCCATGGAGACCCAGAGCAAGAGCATGGCCGTCATCAAGCCTCCTCTATTTGATGGCGAGAGAAATCCAAGGGCAGCGAAAATCATAGTGACAAGAACCATACCAAAACACTGAACACCTGTTCCAACATATACACACAGTATGTCAGAGTAAGATGGAGGCCTGAAAACATCCCCGTGGACAAGCTTCCATCCTGTCTCTTCTTGAGCTTCATCTTGTATCTCTAATTGGTTATAGGTAGAGATATCGCGGTAAAGTGTCCGCAACATTATCATAGCCACCATGCCCGACAAGAAAATAACAATCAGCAAAGAATTAATAATGGAAAACCAGTGAATCTGATCATCGGCCATTAGGAGATAGGTATCCCAGCGAGATGCCCACTTTATATCACTCTCCTGCAAGATGAAAGCTTTCCAGATAGTTAAATGAAACCAACATCAAATAAAGACAGAATTCTCAGTGACACTGGCAAGTAAGCAATTGAGTTAACTGTAAGTTATGGTAAGTAACCTGGAATTCAACATCATACGTTAGAATAATTTCCTTCTTGTCTTCAACCTCTTGAGGAGTTTCAGAATTGGTGACTGCCTTTTTTGCATGCGGATCACAAGTAGTTAAGCGGATATTCTCATTCCATTCACCTTCATACTGATGCTTTACACTGTATTCACAGATAATATTATAAGTAAAACCAGCCATTCATTAGACTGATATACAATCAGGTGAAGAAGAATTGTAATACAACCTGAAAGGTTTAACCTCAAAGCCTACAATCCTTGACAATTCAGTCAACGGATCTCTATGATATTTGACTACAAACGATAAGTGGTTGTGGATGAAATATTTTTCCTCCTTCATCTGTTTACAGTTGTGCATACTCAAGAGAAGTCAAAACAGATTCAATCCAATGAAAACAAGAGGTCGTTGAGCTGGTACTTACCCCAGCATACTGTCCTTTAAGGCCAACAAGAAATCCATGCAGATACCCTTTGGATGATTCATCCTGACCAGGCCTTCGTAGAGGAACAACTAAAGGAAGATTATCCAGAATCCTGCAACAATGAAGGAAACGAATACAAAAAATGGTCACAAATATATATATAGCAGGCTCAGAGCAGTGTAAAGTTTAAAGTCACTAATGACTCACATATTCACACGATATTCATCATCTATCTTTTCCTTGAACTTTTTGGCTGTTTTTGCATTAAGAGTTAGACGACAAACAACACTGCACATCTGTGGCTCTCTCATTTTAAACTGGGAAATTCAAATTGTTCAATAAATTAAAGTAATTGAACCAAAGGAAGAATCACGGAAGCATTCCACACAGGTTAACTCTACCGCATAGGGTGAGTTTTCAATGCGATCACCCCGAAGAACTTCTCCGAGATTCTCTGCACTGTCAACAATGTGATCTGGGCGACAATAAGGCAGCGAATAGTAGGAATAAGGAAGCTGTGTTTTTGTGGAAGTCAACTTGTTCACTTTCACCGTTAGCAGGTCTCCCTGCCACCAATGAAAAATAACCAAAGCTAATATTATGATTAAAAAAAAGCTGTTTATTAGACAAATATTTGTACGTACTCATCTTTTTGATGCCACTGTTAGAAGTGTGTTGAACTTGCATTTAAGCTAACAAGCATTTTTTTTCTAATTGAAAAACGTAAAGTATTACCCTCACTCCCAAAGAAAAATAATAATTACAAGCATGCATTGCAAATTGACGTGAAACTGATATTGACAGATTCGCAAGAACCAGAATAAAGTGGAATTACCTTCTGGAAATCTTGAGGTGCAACACCAGGGAGGTAAAAACAATTGACCTGATGGACAAGGAGCATAATAATACACACAGAGATCCATAGATGACGAGCGAGAGGCCCTCTCGCCATTGCTTCGAAGTTAAATTCTGAACTTCTTCACTTTCTCTAATTCTCTTTTTCTGAATCTGTACGCTGTGTGTGTGTGTGTGTGTGTGTGTGTGTGTGTGTGTTCGTCTTTCTCTGACCCAGCACACTTGTGAATTGTGATCGTTAGAGAAATTTCCGACTCCCTGTGGATTGTTTCATGACAGAAAAGCATTTTGGACCAGAAATGGCCTCATGTACACAAGTGTGGGGATTTGCGAGACATTTGCCTGACTAATTTGATGCTTTCTTCGCCGTCCGATTATTGAATCTCGGCTGAGTTAACGGTTTTAACGGTCAAGGTCATGTCACGTTGCTGTCTTCATTGGCTTTCACTAAACAAACCCCTTGATTAAAATTGCAAAAGGAAAGATATATTAGAACTCTTATTTGAAATAATAATGCTCAAATATTTGATAACATCAAATAATAGATAATGGGGTTAAAAAAAATATTTTCTTGGTAGAATCATATTTTTAGTTAGCCTACCTAATTATGTAAATAGATTTTAGCAAATTTGGCATATTGGGTAGGGGGCTACAGCTCTAGGTAACGCAATTTGAAAGAACGAGGTGAAGACAAAGCGGGAATATCCTCACTTATTCAATTAAATATGTGACTTGTTAACTAGAATTTTGGCATAGTTTGAAACTTGTTAAACATGCTTATGTATGTAATCATGCATATGTAAGTCATACTTTGGATATTTTCAAGCATGTAAATGTGATGCACTATGATGGGTTGAAGTTGGATGGAGTTGCTGAGATTTTGTGGGCATGGCGTGTTTATCATCACTGGATTCACAATGAATGACGCTGGGAGGGTTATGTTCTCCATGCCTTTCTTTGGTTGGAATTGTAATCAGAATATGAGATATTAACACCTGATTTTGTAGTTACCATAATTTTGATGTGTAATTATAAATAATAAATAAATTACTCCTACAATCTATTTATCAAGCAGAGAAAGAAAGTTTTCCTCAATTAGTGATCTCATTAAATTTCTAACACAAGGGTATTATTTTGTCATTCATTTTATTCCAGTGTAAACAGTTTTTTTTTTTTTTGAGGAAAATACATATATATTAAACAGAAATAAAGTTAGAAAACTGTTATTTCTCCGGTCTCAAATGTAAAACCCATTTTATAATATACTTCCATTTTATAGTATAAAATACATTATAAAATGACTCTTACATTTAAAACCGAAGAAAAATATGTCATTAGAGAGTTAACGCAGGTTTTTCTTAGCATCTAATATAGAAACATGCTGAAAATATAATTGATAACCATTGACTTTTGAATCAGTCCCTGGTCTGGTTCAAGAGCCAGTCCCATTTTTAAAACCTTGACAAAAATATCAACAATTAACATCAAAGAGAGGCAAATTACTTTCAGAACTAAAGATCGCAAGTTTTTTATACAATAAAGATGGCAAGTTTAAATGACATCAAAACAACCTTGAAAAACCAAGCCTCGGTCCGCCACTTGTTTCTTTTTGTCCTCTCAAAGATCATTTTATTCATAGAACCAACCAATCAATCCCCATTGAACCAGACACCTCAGAGTATGCATTTCCAACTTATGTAACTTTCTTTCCAACACAATACTTTCATATAGTTTGCCTCTAAGAGGAGTGTTTCATAACCCATTCCACCAAAGTAGCAACGCCAAACCCCGTTGCAGATTTCTTCTTCTCATTCCACACTGGACCAGCCAAGTCAATGTGTAACCACTCAACCTTCTCGTCAACAAACTGCAAAACCAGAAAGTTTTCTCAGAAATCCTATATTTACATGTGTAACAAGGATCTGGATCTTTGCATTTAGAAAGGCAATGCATTGTATACATGTGAAAAGATCTGAAGGGGAACATCAACGGTATGTTCTCTCTATTAAATGCATAGAACATTATTACAAAGGACCACACTACACGTACCCGCAGAACTATTAATAGAACAAGCAAGAAAATGAAACAAGAAAGAAGCACAGCTTGCCAAAGCACCAATTCCTCTGGCTCAGCTTGTATATTTGATCGCTTACATCAAACTAGAAGTCTATCCAATCATGGTAAGTTTTATTGCAAAAATATACAAGCAAATGTTTTAAATTGTGCAAGTCATTAATTGTTTTGGCCAAACTTGAGGCCCCAAAAGTTAAATTAACCAAGAAAACAACAAAAAATAATAGAAGAAAATGACAAAATACTAAACCTCAAGCGAAATGTTTCAAATCCAAACACGCATTTACAACACTCTACAATCAGGAAGTGGCAATGGCAAAGTATACCTGGCTCAAACTGACCAAGTTCATGGTCTGAGAAGCTCTAAGGACACTGATATCTTAAGCACAATGCTATAGGTTAAGAAGCTCGGACATTGCATTGATTTGAGATACAACACAAACAAACAATAAAGACCCATCCAAAAAAGAAAAACAGTTGAGCGAGAATGGCGATTCAAGATCTCATAAAAGAATTTAATACTACCTCCAGTTCTTACTATAAAAGCCAGTTGATTAATTTGAGTAGATAAAGAAAGTTTGTTAAGTTAGTTATTTGTAATAAATAAGTGTTATTTTCTCTAGAATACCTTTACTAATCAAGTGATTAGCTAAAACTACCATTATTATAAGGACTATCTTGGAAAAAAGTGGATAAATATAAGAAACAAAATAGATTAGTGTCTTATATTTATGACCAAAATAAAAGACAAACTAGCTCTTATATTAATGACCGAAAGTAGTATTAAATCATGATGTTTCCATATATTTAAATTCCTTTTATGTTAAAAAAATTGAAAATTGAAATACACGATATTTCCATATTTTTTTATCAAAAAGATTTCCATGTTCAATGACAGCGGGAGATGCCACCAAAATAGTGGCATCCCATGCCTCTTAACTCCCTTGAACACCAATAATACTACTGAATCATAGACATCTTGAATGCCAAAATAAAGATGAAAGTATACCATATAGAACTTGTTATGAATCCTTGGGAGCATGGGCTCAAAAAGTTGGGGAGAATAAGAGAAGTAAAATGACTTGAATAATTACAACAAATACCTGTTTCAAAAATAGAGCAGCAGTAATAGCCCCGCCTGGTCTACCACCAGTATTTACCATATCAGCCACTCCTGATTTCATTGTTTCCCAATAACTTTCCTCCATTGGCATCCTCCATAGTTTTTCTCCGCCTGCCTCTGCAGCATCCAGTAGTTCTTTTGCCATGTCATCACTAGGAGTGAACACACCTACAAATCAATGTTTCGCATTAGTAATCAATTAATAATAAGATGAATCAATGTAAGAGTTAAGCTACTAGTAAGTATGCCAAGTGCAAGAAGGGAAAATGCCACCAAAATGTGGCCTCTGTAACAGTTGTTCTCTTTCACATCCTACCTCTCTCTACATTAGGGCCACGTTTGGTATGACAGCATCCAAGGAGAGGGCGAGAGAAAATGGGAACTTAAATTTTTGTGCAATATATGCCATGCCCTTGTTATCATATTATTTAAACAGCCTATTTTTTATAGCATATTTATTTTTAAAAAAATAAGGGCATGAAGGGTATCTTCCAGCCATTTTTCATTCCCTTCCCCTTTCTATCCCTAGCATCGAGTAACAAACATGGCCCAGCTCACGCTTTCCCAGTAAACCTAAAAACATCTCCCACACCAAGCTCAAGCATAATGTAATGCAAGCAAGTTAATATTCACCTGCAATTGAGGGTCCAAGAGCAACAATGCAGGCTCCAGTTAAGGTTGCCAGGTCAACTATCTGTAGCATAGTCAATAAACATGTAACCAAGGTTTTGATAACAAACTATATAACTAACAAGTTTGAGTATTATTCTAATCCAAATGAAATTCGGGAAAAAATCTTCATAGGGGCACCATATTGTCAAAAATAAGCAAATATTCCCCAAATTAGCAAATATTTTCCAAAACAGTGTGTACACGTCTCGAGTCAAATTCCTTTCTAAGACTGACAATCGCACGTATTCATCAAACCATCCTATTTAAGAAAAACCAATAATCAGAAAGGTTCCTGCAGTATCTATTAGAAGGCAAATTTCAACCATGCGATATAAATGGCAACAAACAGGAAATCAAATCTGTTATGAATTATGTGCATATTAGAAATATGTGGGCGTACAGCGATATAAACTATGTACATACCTTTTCAACTCCTTGGTTACAAGCATATACCAGAGCATCTGCAAGAGTAAGCCTACCCTCAGCGTCTGTGTTGTTAACCTGCAAGAGGTTTAACCCAAAGCCAAATGCAACTTCAGATGCTAATAATAAGTTATATAAGCCAAGTAATACGTGATATTTTTAGCTCCCAAAAGGCCAATACTTGAATTCAATGTTTTCCGATAGCAAACCACAAGTAAACTTTTTAACTATGCATTACGTTCAGATATTATTAGCAATACCATGCAGTGCTGATGTGCTTGAAATAATTCCAAAAGTTGAAAGGAAAAAAAAAGGAAAATAAATTGATGCATCTCTCTTCCAATTCTAGCCAATAATTCCAACTCAATGAAGACGCATTTTGGACTCTTCTAAAAAACAAGATATGTACAGAATAGGATATACTAATTCTCCGCCAGCAAGCAAGCTAGTCTGAAAAGAAGAAATGAACATTGCTAACTAATCAAGACCCACATATTGCTATGTGCCATGTTCAATAGATTGAAATAGTATATGTATATATATTAAAAAAAATCAGCCTATTCACCTCTATAGTCTTTCCATTTGAAGCTGTGACAATGTCTCCAGGTCGCATTCCTGTTCCACTTATCATATTCTCACAAGCAGCAACAATAAAATGAACCTGAAACGCAGGACTTATAACTTTCAACATAATGCCGTATGCAGAAATCCAATTAGATCGATAATTTTCAAAATTTAACATTAGATATAATTTTTCTTTGTTCCTGAAAAGTTGAACTCGTAATTTGCCACATCCCATGCACCTACCAAGCAAAGGCTTAACGTTGAAAGACAGAAGGTAAATTACATCCTAATCAATCGATTAGCATGTTATTCTATGCAAGGGACAAAGTCGACTCATGACAAATAATCAACGTCTCACCTCCACTCCAGGAGGTTTGATTTGACCAAGAGCTTTTGCTGCACCTAAAACTGCAGCTGAACCACCCATGTCAAATTTCATGAGTTCAATTAAACAGCCAGGTCCTGTCTTGATGTTGTAGCCACCACTGGTAACATACAGATAGATTAATTTGAAAAATAACACAAAAAGTCTTTTATAGTGAGTAAAAATAAATTACCAACAATAAGTCTTGAAGCAGTCATTGCAGACAAAAATAAAATATAAATCTGAACTACAAAGGCAATTTGTATATGGCAAAAAGACAAAAAAGCAATCTACTTGGTAACTCATGGCAAGTTAGTGTTGACTTCCCCCGCCCCTGGGGGGAGCAGTGTTAAGTATTATCACTTCAACCAATGATAGAAGTAATAATATCATCACCAGTTACATAAAAGAAATACCACCTTAGAAAACATCAGTTTGGAATCATCACTCATTCTAAAATGTGGCTGAAGTAGAAAGATGCATTGTCTATAAAAAATCAAATTACCTGTCAAATGTCAAACCCTTTCCAACTAAAGCCAACTTGCCATTGACGGGTCCGCTAGGAGGTTTATAGCAAAGATGGATAAAATGAGGAGGATTTGCTGAGGCTGCAGCAACTCCGAGAAAAGATCCCATGTTCAATTCCTTACATTGCTCAGCATCCAATATCTTAGCTGTTAGAACATCACTATATGCAGAAGCAATCTTTGTGGCCTCTTCTGCCAATACCCCTGAGTTAAACAGTTCATGAACATATTAGACAAGCATATGAGCATATAGAGATACAAATCAGACTTTAACATATAAAGGAAATGAAATTAAAAATAGGCTAGCAGCCTGTCCAGTGACATCAGCATGGGAGCAATATATCTTTTACAAACACAAGAGTCAAACAAACCTGGCGTGACCACATTAGCTGGGGAGTTCACAAGCTCCCTTCCAAAAATTATTCCAGAAGAAACATCTTCAGCATACTTAAGTTTCTTTTGCAATTCAGGTCCTGTTCCAAGACCAAGAATGTCAACTGATCTAAGAGCTGTTTTCTTTGATTCTGACTTGTACCTGTTATCTTCATGTATTCCCAGTGCAGTCCCTAGCAAAGTTCAAGCACACATGTCAAATTTAAATTATACATCTCAGCTCAAACATGCATCGGTAACCAGACAATTATGATTCTACATATACAAAATCATTAAACAAATACCAGATGCTATTGCAGAAGCAGTTTTAAGCTTTAATTCTGTAGAAAGTCCCTCGGATGAAGCGAGAACAATGGCAACATCACTTGCCTGGGCAGTCTTTGCAGCTGTTGCAACATCCTCACCAAAACTGCTAAATGCAGCTGTAGTTGAAGCTGATTGTCCAAGCCCAATCAAGCCAACCCTCTTGAATCCAAGTCCTGGTATCCTAAGAACTGTTGATTGGCCAACTTTTCCGGAAAAATCCTCCTCGGAAGAAGCTTCAGCCAATAAACCACTCAACTTGGAGTCAAGCGACTTCAAAATCCGGTTCTCGAACTTTGCGTTCTCATCTTTTACCATGTCTTTCTCCGTGACACCTACTGCAAGTATGTCTCCTTTCCATTCCGTCACATCAATCTCCTTCGCCGTGAAAGAGATCTGCCAGGGAATTACACAAACAGAAAGAAAAAAACAAACTTCAGAATTACATATTAAATCACGAAAGAAACAAGAACATATCTCGCTGATTTCATTTCTAATGAAGAAAGATGGCCACTCAACGCGATGGTATCTCTCTATAACCTTCAAACATATAAAAAGACTCAAATTTAAATGCTAACCAGAAAGTAAAAACTCTCAAGTCAATGACTTCTCGTATTGGACAATGTGAAACAAAAGTTAGCAGATTGAACAAAACAAATCAGATATCCAGTCAACGGGACTTCCATTAAACTGGACTGACTGAAATAGTGAGTGTGACACTGAAACCCCAAATACAGTAAGATCAGAACCACTCATGCAAACCAGGCGAATGCGCCAGATCAATGCCAACACAAAACAAGGGCAGAAAGATAACCACAAAATAACCCATTAACAATAACAAAGCGAAGAGATTATAAGTAACCTTGGGGTTTTCGATGTTTGCCGGCTGAGTTAGACCAAGACTGGCACAAACTAAAGTCTGAGCCATGAGTCTCCTTGATGGATAGCGCAGGGGCAGAATAGGGAAACGAAGGCGGGACCAAGAAGAAGAACTTAGCCTCACGGAGAGAAACAACGAAGAAGAAGAAAGAGTAGAGGAAGAAACAAGGAATGAAGCCGCAAAGGAAGCTACAATGGTAGCCATTTTGGGTGCGTGAGGCTCTAGCTATTTATAATGAACCATCAGAGGAATTCGTATGGCCGTTGAGGACTGAGATAACAGTAACATGACGGGTGGCTTGACAACACCAGCATCCTCAGTATCGGCCTGTGACATTTGGATAGTACCCTTTTGGTTTTCTCTTTGGTTTTGTTGGGATATTTTTCATTTTTAATATTGTCACATCATGCATTTATTCTCATCCTTTAATCTCAGAAAAAATTACATTACAATTACAATTGAGAAAAGAAAACTCATATTTGTTAAAAAAAATTATATCTTATTTATTACTGTAACAAGATATGTTTAATATAATTACATGACTTGTTAATTATTTTATTAAAGTTGTAAAAATATTTCTTTTTAAATTTTTTGAAAAATTTATTATTAACTGTTGTACTGAAATTGTTAATAGTTTTATTTTCTGTTTGGATAGAAAGAAAAGTTGAGAGGAAAGAAAATAAGATGAGAGAGAATAGAGAGAAGAGAAAATTGGAGAGAAAATATTATCACCTCTGATATTTGGATGGACAAGAGAAAATAGAAAGAAAAAATGAGTAAATATATGAATGACTAAAATACCCTTTCTGTTATATCAAAATATATTTTGATTAAAATCAAATTAAATATCATAATGAAAAACCATATTTACATTAACATAATCATATAATTTAAAATCAAATTATTTGATAAAGATATATTATCATGTTATTATATTTTAATATAAAATAATTTTGTAAAAAAAATAACATTTTATGTAATGCAATGCTAAAAAAACCAAAACAACAACTCTACTTGTTTTTTCCTTCAGTTCATTTTAGAAGGATTTTTCTAATTTTAGTTATTTTATTTTGCAATCAAGTAAACACAGAAGAAAAACTTGATAATAATAAATAAATTTAAAAATAAAAAAATTAATAGGTATTATTTGCTGAAAAAACATATGTAAGGGTAGAGAGAAAAAATAAGTTTTCTTCTCATTTTTTCTCCATATATGGAGAGAAAAATTGGGAGGAAAATGGACTGTGGGACCATCTTATTTTCTTTCCAATTTTTCTTTTCTCCCACTTTTCTTTCCTCATCTAAACAGGGAAAAAAATCACTTCTCCCCCCATTTTCCTTCATAGTTTTCCTTCCTCCCTCATTTTCTTTCCATCCAAACATAGTATCAAAGAACTTGTTAATTATGTTATCAAATTTAAAAAAAATTCAAAAAAAAAAGTCACTAGCCCCCAAAACTCTAGCAATCTATCATCAGCTAGTCACCCAACAACCGGTGGCCCACCTGAACTCCTGTGGTGGCAGCCGGTATCAATGACTGACTGACTAGTGAGTCTTTTCAACAAAGTTTAAAATCTCAATTCGCTCATGTGTATTTAAAAGAGAATTTATAATTATATAAAAGATTATTTTCACACAAATCGAAACAAAACTCCTCTCACATGTTTATTTTGTATATCGTAAAATTAATTATGAGAAAGGCTTTATTTTAAGATTAATTAATACTTCATTTTGAGGAAAAAAATTCAGCAACGACAACTAGTATTTTGAAAAATTAGATATGGATTTAAAGTTTTATTAGTAAAAATGTTATTATCGTTTTATATAATTAAAATTATTTATGAAAGAGTAATTAACACAATAAAATTTAATCATCTGCAGCAATTGGTACCCCTAATTTTTTACAAGTTTTACTAATTAGGAATCCATAACTAAAAAGAAAGTTTATTAATCCAAACTAATGATCGATTAATTAATAATGTTATCATAAGTTATATATGTTTATCTTGACTTATTAACTAAACACTCACTAGTCCAATAAAAGCTCTCAACCTATAATATTAAAACACAATGCACATCTTTTAGTTAAAAACAAGAGGAAGAAAAACAAAAAGAATTATAATAAGGTCTCAAAAAAATTAAAAATAAGTTTTATAAATTATTATTTTTTACTCTAAAACTTGTCATTACAAGTTCTTTAAATTGTTATTGAGACTTTTAGGGCTTATTTGGTTTCTTGTTTTGAAAATTTTTTTTTATTTTTTAAAACAGAAAAACAAAAAAACTTGTTTGGCAATTTGTTTTTAGTTGATTGTTTCAAAAAACCAAAAAACAATAATATATTTTTAAAAACTGAAAAACTAAAACAACTTTTACATGTTTTTTTATTTTTGTTTTGTATTTTTTATTTTTTTTGTTTTGAAAAACTAGAGAAATCTTCTTCTGTTCTCCTCTACTACATATTATCTATTATTACCGGTGATAACTACAACTTGTCAAAATATAATTTTTTATTTTTTTTCCAAATGTGATTTTTTAAAAATTATTTTCCAAACAAAATTTTTTGTTTTTTGTTTTCCAAACTTGTTCTTAAAAACAATTTTATAAAATTGTTTTAAGAATAAGAAAATAAAGAACAAAAACAAAATACCCTTAATAATTATTGTTTTTGCTTGAAACCTCATTATAATTCTCTTTAAAAAAAAACAACTTGTTAACCTATATTATCACGAGATATATATGTCTATCCTTGCCAGTAATACAACTAACTAGACAATTACTTGCTACTTTTAATTTTTAATATAAGAGCTAGTGAACTAATTTAAGTAGATTAAGTTAACTAATTTAAGTATATTAAGTTTATTAAATTAGTTATTTTGTAATAAATAGATATTATTTTTCTATAATATAAAAATTTTAATATATATAAAACTACTATAAAGATTACTTTTAAATAAATAAAATAAATTAAAATTTTATATTTATGATTAAATTAAAGGGAAAATGACAGATAAAGAAGGTGGAATGTATGATATTTCAATTTGGGAAGCTAAGAAAATCTAATGACAGAGAGGGAAGTCCTTCCTAAATTGGGATTTTAAAATTCAGTGAAATAACAAAAATGCCCTTTGTCTTTTTTTTTTTAAAAAAAAAAAGCTCAGCCCTCGCCGATAGCCGGCCAAGGCCAACGATTAGCCCCCAGCAGGCAGCCGCCGCTGCCAGGCGCCGGTGCCGGCCACCGATAGAGTTTTTTTTGTCACAATTTTTTTTTTCACCATGGGAGAATATTGCAAGAAAGTAGTAGAGGTGGGATTTGATTCTACTACCTCTTGGCCATTTGAACCAACAAAAGGGAAGATGAGCATTGGGCCAATAAAAACTTGTTAACCTTATAACAAAAAAAAAAATAAGTTGACTCTTTTACAGTGATTTCAGTCCCTGACAACAATTTATCTAGAGATAACAAGTCTTAATTGAGAAATAATAAGTCTAAATTTAATATTAACAAAGTAACTTTTTCTTATACATAACAAGAAGTAGCATGTACATTAATTAAAAATGATAATAATTTATTTGAAAATTACACGTCTTTACTAGAAAACGACAAGTTTAAACTTGAGATTAACAATGTGTCTTTTCCTTATACATAACATGAAACAACATGTTTATTAATCAAGGCATGTCATTCCCAAATAAATTATTATCATTTTTAATTAATGTACATGTTATTTCATATTATGTATTAGGAAAAGACATATTGTTAATCTCAAGTTTAGACATATTATTTTCAAATAAATTATTATCATTTTTAATTAATATATATGCTATTTCTTGTTATGTATCAGGAAAAGTTATTTTGTTAATATCAAATTTAAACTTGTCATTTTTCATTAAAGATATGTCATTTTCAAATAAATTATTGTTATTTTTAATTAATGTACATACTATTTCTTGTTATGTATCAGGAAAAAACACATCGTTAATCTCAAGTTTAGACTTGTCATTTTCCAGTAAAGACGTATTATTTTCAAATAAATTATTGTCATTTTTAATTAATATACATACTATTTCTTGTCATGTATGAGGAAAAGTTGATTTGTTAATATCAAATTTACGCTTGTTATTTTTCAATTAAGACTTGTCATTCCCAGATAAATTATTGTCATAAACTGGTGTCACAGTCAAAGAGTCAACTTATATTTTTGTTTGCATTATAAAGTTATTAAGTTTTTGATGACCCAATGGTCACCTTTTGTTTTGTTGGCCCAAATGGCCAAAGGGTAATGTGATCAAATCCCATCCCTACTACTATCTTGCAATATTCTCTTATGTAAAAAAAAAAATGACTAAAAAAACTCCACCGGCAACCACCACAGCGATGGTCCCTTACCGGCTACCAGCTAGCGGCGAGGGCTGAGCTTTTTAAAAAAAACAAAAAAGATAAAGAGGACTTTTTTCACTTGATTGAATTTCAAAATCTCAATTTAAAAAGGACTTCCTTCTCTGTCATTAAATTTCCTTAGCTTCCTAAATTGAAATATCATATATTCTATCTTCTTTATCTGTTATTTTTCCTAAATTAAATATCTAATTAATTTTTATATTAAAAATATGAGGTTATCTTTATGACATCATAGACAGATACAATGTGTGACCGCACAATCAATCATTAGTACAAACTAATAAATTTTTTTTTATGGATTAATATGCCTAATTGACAGGTCATGTGACATTCCAAACGTACTGCGATAGTGCCATATGTTTCCACAAAAAATGAGCGACAATTGTTTCACATTATTGAACTTTAGGATAGCAAACACTGTTCAGACGAAAATGGTCTTTAATCTAAAATCAATTTGAAGTTAAAGGCTAACGTCAATGTTCATTAGTCTTAAGGCAAACGTAGCACGATTCTAACACTTGAGACGCATTACTCAAATAAATAATTTAGGAAAATCATTTTTTCTCGAAGAATATCTCAGTAAATATTGTACTCTTCTCATCTTTAATATAAGACCTATTTAACTAATTTGATTAGATTAAGAAAGTTAGGTAAATTAGTTATGAAAAAAACATGTTTTTCCTAAAACACCATAATCATCTTCCTTAATATCTTCTCTCCCTCTTCTACTTGATTATGGTTAAGAGAGTATCTATAGAGGTAATTTAGGAAAAAATGATAAATATAGAAAATATATCTTATATTTAGAACTAAAATCAACTCAATAATTAGATCTTATATTAAGGATCAGAGGAGTATTAAATTTTGAAAATTACATTTAAAATGAAGGGATAATTAATC